ATCTGGGGGTGTGTTTATGTTGTGCAACCTGTCTCTGCAGATTCATAAACAATAAAGAATGATTTTCTATCTATTTGACTATCGTAGACGACTCAAAATGGCTGCGTTGTTGCTGTATTTTCAGAGACATTGCAGCTGCTGCAGGGGGGCGCAGATCATCAACCATCACTTTCGTTATCTGTAAAGCAGCATTGTAATATATTGTTTGTCGTAAGTTGTTATAATACTACACATAATAAAGGTTATTCTTTATTGCAGGCGGTAACATAGGCCTACATTTAGACTTGCTTACATTTAACGTGGTGCATAGCTTATTTTATTGAAGAAACAATAATAGTTAAAGGTGGGGTAGGTTTGAGAAACCGGCTCGAGATACACTTTTTGTTATATTCCATGGAATGCTCTTAACATCCCGATAGCAATGAATATCTTAAGTGCTTTGACAACAAATCAATAAAAAAATGTCATCTGTGGAAGGCGTAGGCTAGTACTTCTGTGCACAAACTTATCTCGTGCCCTCATTGGTCATGTGCGCGTTCTGTGTGTTGGAGGAGGGGCTCTGTAAGGAAGTGGCAGATTTTTTCCGGCTGTGTATTTTCAAATTCTAGCTCACTCAAGCTGGTTTCTCCAAAATTACCTGCCCCACCTTTAAGTAGAGAAACAAAACAAATGGAAAATAAGAATAAAACCGAATAAAACACGGCAGAGTTGATAATAAATATGAATAAACAATACAATGTTAAATGTTAGAACAACGTTTTTTGTCAGAACAAAATATCACACACACACACACACACACCTATAGGCTACTTCTGTTTCAATGTAAATGTGTCCATCTGTTGGACGAATACAATCATTCTGATTCCAAATAAATGTAACAAATAATAATGATCGTCAATAATGCTAATTGTTAGACATCATGGGTCATACATGAAAAGTTCCGCATGGGGAATTAGTAGGCGTCTCATCGCCAGGTGCGTGTAAGCCTCAATCAGTGGGCGTGGTTTCAAGTCACCTGGGCAAGATAATAAAAGGTTTCCGGTCGCTCCATGGCTTGAATTCTGCCACATGTGTTCTTGTTGAAAATTATAAGCAATTGTTCTGGACATTCTCCTGCCATGAGTTCATCAAAGCCCTACATTGGTTGTAAAATAGGGTTAATTTCGAAAGCCCAAAATCGTTATGAGGGGATTTTGTATACAATTGATAAAGTGAACTCCACAGTAGTGCTGGCTAAAGGTGAGTAGTGTGGTCTTATGCTTGACGGCCTGCCTGTATATCTAAAAGCATGTTGTTTTTTTAAAGAGCACACTTTAAACATGGATGACACTTGGCTTATTTAAACATTTTCTCTGAACTAGTCAAGTGTTTTGGAACTGAGGGACGACCCACAGACCGACCAACTCACCCCAAAGATGATGTCTATGAGTACATCACTTTCCGCGGAAGTGATATTAAGGACATCACACTGTGTGAAGCTCCAAGATCTCACCTCCACGGCCTACCCCTGGATCCTGCAATAGTACAGGTTAACAAGAACAGCATGCTCACATCCCACAGTATATGACTTACACTTATACAAAGATGCATATCTTCTGTGTTGACATTTTTCAAACTTCTTTCTTAAGTCTTCTGGTGGAGGCCCTTCAAACGTCTACTCACCTCTTGGACCATTTAGCCCCTTACGGATACCAGCCTACAACCAGCTTGCTGCCAGCTCTCTGCTTAATCAACAATATGCTGCAGCTATTGGCCTTGGTAATTCAATGAATTCACATGTACTGCTAATGGACCAACACAAACACACACCCTCAGTGCCTCTGAATAGTTTTAGGTTGTTGCATATTTCAGTAATTGTGTTTTTCATGCAGGGCCTATGCTTCCAGGTTTACATGTTAGAAGGGGCCCCATGGTGGAAAAGTCTGTTCAAACCCTCCAAGTGGAAAGAACTAGGCAGAGGGGAGACTTCTCTGTATCCCAGGAGCGGGAGCAGCAGTGGGAAAGAAGGCCTCAGAAACCCAGAGGAGAGATTCCACAGACCAGAAGGGCCACTGGAGCCAACAGTAAGCATACATAATTGCATTAATGAAAGGCAAAGGTATAGCCTCAACACCATATTCACTTATTTACACACAAGTGAAGAGCTTTGCTTGATTAACAGCAAAAGGTTTTACAAATGTTGGGAAATGTCAATCTGTGCATTTACCAGCAAGTGAGTGTAATTGTTTTTACATTTTAGTGAAGTCAGGCCCAGGTGTGCCCAATGCTCAGCAGGAAACTCTGCAACAGAATGATGAAAACAGGCCAACACCCAGCCGAAAACAAGGTAATGGTAAAATGTACAGGTTTGTAACGGTAAGACAAATGACCAAGTCCTAACTTTCAATGCATTTAAAAATATAATAATCCTAGGACCTCGGAGGCGCAGAGTCCGTAGTAGAGGCCAGCTGATTGTGGCTAATGTTCCATCTGCAGTCCTGAAGTTTGACACAGACTTTGATTTTGATTTATCAAACGCGCAGTTTGTAAAGGAGGAGCTGGAGAGGGAGGTGCACGGGACGAAAGGTCTGCATTTTCATCTTCTGCTTTTTTGACAACGTTTATTTTTTAAATGTCCACAGGTTGTTAAAACCTTACACTTTTCCATAACATAAAGTTATTTAGACACTGTTGCATGCAAGCTCTAAATCATACCAACTGTAGTTAGGCTCAGCAGCTGTAAGACAGATGGATTTTGGCACCAGGATTCGGTTACTAAGTGGCAGTGATGAGTGACATTATTTATCTTTTGTTTTTGGCTTTCCAAACATCTGTTCAAGGATTCTGTTTTCATTTCTGAACAGGTCAATGCATTGACAAGTGGTGCATCAAAAGCCAGATTTGATACATCTCAGTGTATGATTATATTATCTTGCGTAGGACCTGTAAGGTGTGAAGATGAGCATGTGTGTTTTTAAAATCAGTGAATGTCCCTATAGAAACGCCTAACAAGTTGGTTCCCAATTACTAGCAGTGCATGTTTCTGTCTGCAGATGAAAATCCTAAAGGAGAGGAGAAGGGAAAAGAACAATTGCTCTCAACAGCAGAGAATGATCTTTTTGGACCAAAATGCTACTACGACAAAGCAAAGTGCTTCTTTGACAACATCTCGTCTGACACAAAGTTCAGGTACTGGTTGCTTTTCTATCCTGAACATTCAACAACAGTTTCTCCATTATGTGACGCTACAGCGTTGTTTCTTTTTGTGTTAGACAAACATGGGCGGAGGAGCGGAAGCGCAACATGGAGACTTTTGGTGTCCCTGGACGGTTCTTGAGGGGCCAAGGCTTCAGAGGTGGCTATAGTGGACGAAGAGGACGGGGCACTGCTCAGACTCAGTCTTCTTACAGAACCAGGAGTGGTCAGCTGTAAAGGTCAGAGTTTGGCACTAAAGCAACCCCTTGCTATAGGGATGGCTTCCCCTCGCATAAAATCTGACTTGTACACCTCTGTCTGTTCGAAGAAGGATCTATTTTCGTTTTTTTTTCTTTCCCTGAGGCCCTTAAGCCCCCATAACGCCAGTATTGTATTTTATTTATGCCCTTTGTCATTTGGCGACTTTTGCATATATGCATGGCTCACTAAATGGTCCTCCTTGTTTGACAATAGTTTTCCCCCTCGGAATGTTTGTCTGAGTATTTCCCCCTTCAATTAAATGGGAGTGTTTAAGTTTGTTTTGTTTTCTACTTGGAAGAATTTCACTCCCAAACGTGTTTTGGTTTCATGTTTAAAAAGGGATCTGGCTTTGCTTCTTGGGAGAAGGCAACATTTATTTCATTAAAAAATATTGTATACTATGGATATAAACACGATTAACTAAACTTGAATGAATTTAAAATCTAAATATTTGTTCTGTAATATCGAAGCAACAAGTGAGACTTATGTAAATAAAATGGAAGTTGCTGATTCACTCGTCTTCTGCTCTCTGAGGATGCATACATTATATTGTCATATTGTACACAAATGAGCTTTACATGTCTGTACCTTTTTGGTTGGGCAATATACACAGTTCTGGAATTGAACTAAAAGTAACTTTATATATTTTTATTTTTGTATTTTCAACTACATTTCAGGCAAATATGTTACTATACTCTATATTTATCTGACTGAGTGTTTCTCAGATTAAATATTTCTCTTTTGAAACTATGTATTCCAAATGTGTAGATCTGGAAAGTTTCTGCTTAAGGTTGAACCTTTCCTTTATGGGTTGAAAAATACTTTAGATAAATGAACTATTTAAAAAAAACCGTCTTGTTGCTTGTTCACAAAGTCATCAATCATACATTTCTGCACATTAATTTATTTTTGTTAAAGCTGATTTTCACAGGACTCTATTTCATATTAGGATTACATTGTGCAATGCCGATTAAACTCAACCACCCAACAGTGGGTTACAAAAAGTAATCTAATAAAAAAGACCACCAACGTAATACCCACAGGCGCACTTGCATGCGACAATGCAACATTGACATTGTCACAGTAACACCAAAACAATCTTTGGCGTAGGCCTCACAGTAAAAATAATTTCGGGGAAAAATGTTCTGCACAATTATAGCTTTGAATTTTCTGGTGGATTTAGCTGATGTTTCCTTTTGGGTTTAAATGGAACTGCCTACTTATCAACTATTACATTTATCATTGTGCTAGGGGACGGAAATGCTCTGCAACAAATATGAACATGAGACTTTGGTAATAAGATGTCTTGTTCACACAGAGGTGCTTAAAACAACTTCTGCAATCTCTCCTCTCGAACGACTTTTGAGCATCGAGCAGTGTGTACAATGAGGACTGATTGGCTGTCATGAATCAGAGGATACTCCGTCTACAGTGAGGGAAAGTGGTAGGCTACTCACTGTCCGGGTTATACCAAAAACTGAGGGAGGGGGATGTTCCAATATTACCTATCAGTTTATTTTCTGTATAATTTTTTGATTGCAAACTATACATAGCTGTCAGTAAAATCGTGTGTCGAATTACAGTCAGAGAAATCCACTGTGTTCCTATTTTCCTCCCTTCATGACAGACATTTGTTATTGTCAATATACCCCCATTTCCTGGTGGCAATGGACAAAAATGTACCCAAATAGAGGGCTGCGCTCAAAATAATAAATATTAGAATAAAAGAAGCGCTTTTATTTTCCATATGACAAAATGTCGGTGGCGTTTTCCTCGGCGCGCCCCAGGAGTAAAGGGGAGGTGACACAGCAAACAATTCAAAAGGTAAACCTCTTTAAGTGCGTCGTGGCGCTTGTGATAACATATTCTAGTCTGGATGGGAGGTTGCGGTCCGCCAGTGCAGAGAAAGTAGCCTGTAGTGAATATCTGAAGAAATGGCAACTGGTATTGTAACGTGACAGTCAATTGAAGGTGCGTACCTATAACAAAGACACGGTGCTGATGTAGGCGATCGCTTATGCTCATCACTGGAGCTGATTCTGTGTGATGCTGTCAATCTCTGCTTTTTTTTCTGACATGACTAAAATGTTTTACTTTTATCATAAATCATCAGCTTCAAATGGTGTTACGTGTTTCTAATCATTTTAAAGCACAACACCTGATCAAGGTAGCCTATAGTTATGGGTGCCCGTTTATTGTCAGACAGCGTGGCGAAAGGTTAAACTGTTTTTATGGACCCCTGCTTTGTTGCAAAATATAACAATCAGCTGGAAATAGACATTGTATGATGAAAACCGAGCTACATTGGACAAACATGAGCCATATAGCCTCCTGAGACTGCTGCTGCTTTTATAGGCTACCTGACTGAAGCCTTTTTTGTAACACTGCACAACCAATCTTCAACACAGGGACTTTCAAACAAGGTCCTAAAAAAAGACTGTGAGGAAGTGCTTCCATATTTGGCCCCATTATGAGTAAAAATGTAAAAACTGACCCAGAAAGAAGGCTTGTTGAAGTTAGGACATTACTGAAATGTCTGAGGCCATCTTTCAGTGTATAATTTGCCATACATTGTGACTTTTACTGTTTTGCTGAAGTTGTTTTGTCTCCTGAAGATGCTGGATGAAAACAATCATTTAATACAATGCATAATGGATTACCAAAGCAAAGGCAAGACAGCTGAATGCACACAGTGAGTGTTCTTTTTTTTACTCCTGACTGATGCCATATAATTGTAATACAAGTCAGTAAATAAAGCTATGTTTTGTTTTCCAATTTGACAGGTATCAGCAGATCCTGCACAGAAATCTGGTTTATTTGGCCACTATAGCAGATTCGAATCAGAACATGCAGACACTACTACCTGCAGTGAGTCCTCCAAGAGGAAGTAACAATATATTTTCCCATCTCCATCAGATTGATTATGCTCTTACCATCCATCACATATTCTCAATTTTTCAAATATCAATAATAAATGAATATGTGATCATACATTTGTGGGTAGACAATCAAGAGGTAAACATCCATGCATGTTCATGCAATTTGTCCACTGATAATGATTTTTAACAAAATGGTACATTTAGTAGACACGAGTTTATATAAAATAAGGCATAAGGAAATTAAGGACATCAATTAGGAAAAATACTTTTCTCAAGGGGAAAACAAATGGAGCATTATTCTTTTATTTCTAGCCTCCCGCTACCAATATGTCTTTGGTCTCTGGAGGGATGGGCCAAAGTGTGGGACATGCTCCAAGCAACCTCAATGACAACATGGCATCGGGACATCCCCCCACATCAATGATGCAGAGTCAGATGAGCAATGGTGAGATTTTTCGACAAAAACCCACACTTGGTTTGCACACCTTCTCTTTCATCGTGTTCCCCCCTCTTTCATGGTTGTTTGATCCTGAATTGGCTGCATGTTTGTCTGCAGATTTAGTCCATCACAGTGTTGCTTGTCGTTGTTGCCTGCAAATATGTTATGATGTTATCTCATGGTCTGACAGTCAGATTTATTTGCAGCTTTTTTTCTTCTTTTTGTGACCAATACATTTTTAAATAAATCAGTAATCCTTAAAAGATTCCTGTAAAGATGAACTGAATGTGGGCCCGTGGTTAACACGATATGGCCCCGCATGGGAATGTGCTGGCTGCTCTGACTGTGCGTGTGTGTCGTCAGGCCTCAGCCATGCCCCCATGCAGCAGTCGGCCATTCCCTCCGCATCCCTCAGCCAGCCAGCCAGCAGCTACGGTAGCTCGGCCCCGACCTCTGGTTACAGCCACTCTGCGCCCTCTTCCCAGGGCAGCATTATCCAGGGTCCTGGGTCTGGCTATGGCTCTTCTTCCTCTTCTTCCTCCACACCCTCAGCCTCCTCTTCCTCCTCTCGCAGCAACCTCAACTTGCAGTCTAACCAAGGTGAGCCAGGTATAGTGCAGCCTTATCAGGAGATTTGGTGTATTTATATGGGAAGAGGGCTACAGTAAGGCAAGGCAAGTTTATTTATATAGCACTTTTCAACACAAGGCAATTCAAAGTGCTTTACAAAAAATGAAAAACATTAAGAAAATGGCATTTAAAATCAGTCATTAAAAAGAAAAGCTAATAAAATAAACATTAAAAGAAAAAATACATGGATAAAAGTTACAGTGCAGTTTAAGATATGAATAGTTCAATTAAAAGCAGCGAAAAGAGGTAGGACAGTAGGTTAGGTTAATACATTCAGGCTTAGGATTTGAACACTCAAAAACACTTCAGACTTGATTATCATTAACTTTATGGTTATGGTGCAAGAAGTCCCATTAGTTATTGTTTTTTTTATCATTAGGTATGTTCGAAAATGTAGCACTCAGAAAAAAGGGATTGCTGAAAGTAATGCCTTCCAAGTGTTCAGAGTGAGTGGGATGATTTCTAAACTACCTCTAAATGTATTCATGACAAACGCACATTGATCTTGCCAAAACATTAAATTGTTTACATGTTTATCTGCGCTCATCAATCTGCAAATTCTCTCCTAGTTTATCTCTACCATCAAAATAGGCAAACACATTCAGTTCATCGAAGAGGTTTCCTGCCTTCTTCCTTCTGCTCCAGGCTTACCCTGCCAATCTCCAACTCCTGACCCTGAGATACAGCCCTTCTCTCCCTGGATGTCTGTGTGGATATTTATGTTTATGCACTGACTTCACTAACTTTGTTTGCATCGCCTACTTCTGAGCCGCATCTTGAAAGCATCTCTTCAAAGAATGTTGTTCTTTTAGAGACCCCTGACTGCTTTAGACCGTTTTTGGCTTTTCCCTTTGCTCTGATTGACATGGAACTCCTTCTACATTTGTTCATTTGTTTAATCATGGACATTTCTGCCAATGCTGTTAAATGCTCTTGCAGGTATATTCCTTGAATGTGTCTGTGTTTATTTACCCCCCCCCATAATCACACCTCCTTCACAGTCTCCATGATGCAGCAACAGTCTGCCACTCCACACTACTCCTCAGCCCAGGCTGGGGGCCAACACTATCAGGGACAGCAGGCCATGGGTATGATGGGTCAGAGCAGTCAAGGAAACAGCATGATGTCTCAGAGACCAATGGGATCCTACCGTTCTTCACAGCAAGGTAGGTGGTAAGACTTCCTCTTGCCGGTTTGACATTGAAATTGGTTAGTTTGAGTGCTTAAAGACATATGGATGGATGTGTGACTGTACCTTGGGATAGTTAAGACTGAAATTGTCAACAGGTTTCCATTAATTGAGGCTCTAGATGCCTAGATTCCTTCAACTTTAAGAAGCCTACAGGAATTGTGATTTGTGTCACATTAAAGGTAGGGGAGGTAAGAATGGAGAAATCAGCTCGAGTGCGCTAGAATTTGAAACTACGCAGCCGAAAAAAATCTGCTCCTTCCTTCAGACTTCCTTACAGAGCCCCTCCTCCAACACACACGAACACGCATGACCAATGAGGGCACGGGATAAGTTTGTGCACAGATGGAAGGCTGACAGGCAGGTAGGCCATCCAGTTATTTTAGCCGGACCGGCTTCCACAGATGACATTTTCTAATGTATTTATTGTCAAAGCATTTAATGTATTCATTGCTATCGGGATGTTAAGAGCATTCCATGGAATATAACAAAAAGTGTATCTGAAGTGAATGACCTACCCCACCTTTAAGTTCTTGTGAATCACTTAACTTTTGCTGCGTCAGCATGTGTCTAATAATAGCTCCACCCTGTTCTGTTATGTCTTTTGAAGGGTGTATACTTGGCACATAGTAACTGATATGCTATAAAAAGAATGTGATACTGTTTCCAGGGCAACGACCATGATAGATTGTCCTCATTCACCCTGGTACATTATCCTTGCATGACTGGGGGAAGAGTTTTCAGAGAGAACTTTGTTATGGAGTTGAGGTCTCCATAGTTTAGCTGCTTGGTTGTGGTGGCGTTGCCAGGGCCATTCTGTCATCCCTGGGCTCTGGGTCACATCTGGAATTATTTTGACTATAGAAATAGTTAGTTGTTACAACTCATCACTGTATTTGGAAACATTTCGGCCAGTTGTGGTTTTCAAGGCATTTATCTTGTCCGTAGTTCAGATGCATCTTCAAGAGGGTTTTTGTTAGGTTGGTTTTTCTGACTTTGTTCGATGAAATTGAAAAGGAAAAGGAAAGATTGGAATCTGGAGTTTCTGCACACCACCACCAAGCAGAGATCAGATTCTCCCTGTGAACTGCCTTTCCCCAATCCTCATTTTCTAATCCTCATTTTCTCCTCTTAAATTACATATCATTTAAATTTGTCATGGAATTATTCATTGTAATCTCTCCCCTCTTTAATTATTGCCTCCTAAAATTGGGTTGGCACGTTATAGCTTCTTTCGTTTAAGAAACCACTGATAATAACCATTATCCTGCAGTACATAGAGTGTATGGTCATATTAATTCACTTGATTTTGATCTACCCATAATAGCCTCATAACTAAAGTATTTCCAAGAAAGCTGGCCATAATGTTTGTTATGATCCTAAGTTATTCTTAATTCACAGAGAACTAAAGTGCTTAAATGTCCTGTCACAGCTCGTCTCCAACTCAGCACCCAATTGGTCCAGCCGACTGTTTAGCAAATCGTGGTGTCGCCTGTCTTGCAGGACCTGCATGGCAGTGCATGGGACAAGAAGAGTTCTACGGAGAGCAGTATGGACACACTCAGAGCTCCAGCAAGCCCATAAACCGGCAATATTACCCTGATGGTAATCGTGCACATCCATAAACTTCATGCACACAGCTTTCAAATACACAAAGCCACATTTTAGTTCAAGCACTTATCTACATACCTGAGCCAGATTTACTGCAGTGCTGGTGCTTCAGCACTCCCAAAGCAAGGGATAAAGACTGTGACTGAGAGGCAGTCACAGTCTTTACCCTTGCTTTGGGAGTTGGAAAGTATTGCAAAAAATTGCAAAAGCCTGACATTGGTCTCAAATCTGTTTTCCCCCAGTGTGTCTGTGTCCATACTGTCCCCTTTGGTGTGCCGAAACTTCAGAATTCAGAAAGTGCCATAACAGTGTGTTGAGAACAAAGCACACACTTCCTCCAGGGCGTTCCTTTGTGCTTTGTGAATATTGAAGCGAGAAGCGTTGAAAATGTTGTCTGTGCTTCGATCTTTGTCGTTGCACATGTATTATAAATGTTTTGGCCTCAATCTGCGAGTAATAATGTCCTGCCTCTATGTAAGTGGGTTTTGCCTTTGCACAGGAGTTTTTGCATGTGTTGAACAGCTTTCTCTACAGGTCATGGGGAGTATTCGTATCAACAGTCTTCCTATGGGGAGCAAGGCTACGACAGATCCTTTGATGAATCTTCACAGCATTACTATGAAGGAGGTAGCAGTCGTTCATTCTGTCATTTTAAACCATGCTTTCAAGATGTATTTCCCTCCACTCTCCCAAACGTAAATTGTCTAAATGTGTCTAACCAAATGAGTCCCAATCCATATGAAAAGATAAATTACTAACACCTTTTGTATGCCTCCAGGAAACTCTCAATACAGTCAACAGCAGGCTCAGTATCAGCAGCCGTACAGCCAGCAGCAGTACTCCTCTCAACAAGGCTACAGCGGACAGCCACAGGGATACGGTTAGAACAACCCATACAACCATAATGTGTTCATTTAAATACACACAAACAATGAATAATTTAATTGATTACCCCTTTGCTACAGGTCCTGGCCAAGGTGGATCCTCGCAGTATTCTCAGTATCAGCAGGGTCAAAGCCAACAGTACAGCTCCTACCGCTCCTCCCAGGGAGGCCCTGGAGCCCAGACACAGAGGCCCTATACCTACGAACAGGTACATAGACTTAGATCAGATCTCAGATTTTGTCGTTGCAACACTGACTAATACCCAGTTAACATATGGGAAAATATGTATAAATCCCAAATAACGAGTATTTTGGATAGAAGTTAACAGTAAATGTTTTATTATTGAACAACAAAAACAGTGTTTTCTTTTAAATTCAACTATTTTATCAACTTTAAAACATCAGTAAAGCTAATGCATGTAGAAATTACTGTGTAGCTTGAATATCGTTTTGTGTCTCATTAATTACAGAAAGGCAAAGAGAAAGTGAACAACACAATGTATGAAATGCTTTCTAATCTCTGTATGAATCATTTTTTTCGTTGCAGGGTCAGTATGGAAATTATCAGCAATGAGGTTCCACCTTGTTTTTCTCTTAAAAGAGAGTGAAAAAATAAACGGTTCTACAGGGTGTCGCTTGCTCAGCCGGATCAGTAGATCTGGCTGCATCCGATTAATTATTCCCTCATTAATCATCTTTCTAGCCAAGAATACAAACTCTAGTCAAATGTGATGCTTTCTTCATCTGTTTTGCTCCCTACAGTGGTCATAAAAACAAGGTAGTCCATTTGAACCTTTTATATGGATTAAATAGGGTACTAAAAGTAGCAGTAAGGAAATTCGACGAGCTGCAGCCAATCGCCTGTATAATTCTATTATTTTGCTGTCTATGCCTTTCACGTGTCTTTTAATGTTTATTGTATTTAACAAGCCTCTTCTTATTGATTAGTTTGGTGCACAAAGCAGGCTTGTGAGACTGTGGTAACAAAAAAAAAACTGATTAGCCTTGAATGAATTGTTCGTTGATATTTATCTTAAAGATTAAGTGCAGCTCTTGCTTTAATTCCTAGTTGAGACGCTGTTTTATCTCCTGCTAAAGGAAATACATTTTATGAAGGTGAAAACGTTGGTCCTTAAACCTGACTTGATCAGGGAGTTTGTCTGTTAGTCCAACTGTGATGTGTTGCTGTGTGGTCTAACATTATGTGTTTTCACTCTATACTTATGTCTTTCTGAGGTATTCGACACAGTAGTTAGCCAACTGATCCAGACCTAAAGGTGTGTATAAGTATCCATAGTCATACAGATTTGTGGCAGTAGTTTTGGTATTTATTTTGGGTGGCATTCCTCTAAACAGACTACAGTTATTGTATTGTATTGCGGAGTTTAGAGTTAGTGTGATGCCAATCATTAATGATTTTACATAAAAACACATTGCCACTTTGTCTGCACTTTATTTTTGCAGTGACAGTGTATGTATTGTCAGTTGTTTTGTATTGTTGTGCAATTCAGGCTCTTTTTAACAAATAATCCTCAAAAAGCCAAAGTAACACAGGAACAGAATGGTAACACATCCTGCACCTCTACTTTAAAAAGTGCAATACACTCAGACAGTTAGTCATGTTGAGGTTGCTTTTTATACTTTAATACATTATTTGCATTATATTTTGAAAATCTTTGATGTCAAAGGTCTGGTTTGTCTAATGTTATGTTGCAGGTTTCAACTCACATGTCATATTTAAGAACATTATTTCCGTAATCATATGACTTTTTGGACAGATGTGAACTTTATCACAAACATAAAACTTACTACTTCAACATACTTTTTCCAGTGAGCACTTTTATTAATATATTTTGTATTAGATGGAAAAACAAGTAACAGGGTTTTTAAGGTTCATTGCAGTATATTCTGTAGTAACTCAACTTATCTCAGAGGGGTAAAATAACGTAATAGTTGCAGAGTTATTCAAGAATGGGAGAAACCTGGCTGTCAAACAGCTAAATAACTATGTAGCTGCCACTCAACAGGGACAATCACAGGCTTATACTACAATGAATTTGTATCAGTGTTTTTCATTTGTATGTGAACTGAACATGTATGGCAAGTCTTTTGTAGTTCAATGTAATGTGTATGCACTGATGTGGTTGAATGTGCGGTACGCCTTTTTTGTGTGTGTGTGTGTGTGTGTGTGTGTGTGTGTGTGTGTGTGTGTGTGTGTGTGTGTGTGTGTGTGTGTGTGTGTGTGTTGTGTGTGTGTGTGTGTGTTGTGTGTGTGTGTGTGTGTGTGTGTGTGTGTGTGTGTGTGAGTGTGTGAGAGAGAGAGAGAGAGAGAGAAAGGAAAACGGTGAGAGCGAAGTTTGATGCGCATAATCCAAATATGAATGTTATGTTCTTATCTATTGTAAGTCTGCATTGCCTGATCTTTTCTGCTGTCTTTTGTTACTGTTTGTTATATAAAAATAAACTGACATTCACCTTTTGATATTATTATTATTATTATTTACACTTTTCCGTCACCGAGAAACCTCTGCTAATATTAAATGAAAGAGACACGAGTTAAAAATTATATAATTATTTGAATAATTATTTCATTTTAGTTCTTTATTTGTTTGTATTTTGCAATAAAACAAAAGAGATGCAAAAAAACAGATTACCTTTAAAAGAATCCCCGCTAATATTGAAATTAAAGACATTTGTGAAGTATACACTTGTATAAAAGTCTGTTTCATGTACACTGGCGAAGGCTAGTTCAGTAGCATTGACAATATAACATATCCACTTGTTTTCTTTCATAGTCTTCCTGCCTACGATAACTCACACTCACTCCAGCACAGAAGGTGGCGTTATAGGGCTGAATCGCACCAGCAACAGGGAACGGTATTTCACAATCGCGTAAACAAACTGTCCCTTCACGGGTTCCGTAGGTGCCAAGTAGCGTACTCAGTATAAGCATGCTGTAGTTATTAGACGTGCCAGAACGATTATGAAATAATGTAAATCCATCGGGAATTAACTGTATAACGTAGCCAGTGGTAAGCCGGATACTCTGGCAGAACGAACATTTGTTCTGCTGTGAGTGCTGTGTATTGAGGCAAAACGTGGTGACTTTGTGAAACCGCCGTTAGCCAACCCTTCTTTAGTATTGGTATCTGGCTGTTGAATGGTACAATGTTGACGACGCTGTCAAGACTTAAAAGCCCTAGACTTCTTTCTCCGGAAATATTTTTAGGATACATAGGCCTATTAGGACAAGAAGTGAGAAGTAAAAAGGTTAGCTTGTTAAGTCACAGTTTACCAGTATCCGCAGCGGTGAGGCAGAAAGTCACCGCTGGCTCCAGAGATGTCAGCTCCTCCTGTTCGCTGTGCGCCAAAGTCCGAGGCCAGCCGAAGAAGAGAGAGCTGTCTGAAAAGAAGCTGGTATGTGTTTGAGATAATGGTATACATTGTTCACAACCTAGGGATTTAAATTAACCTACAATAGGGATACAAACTGAGATAAATGAACAGTTATTTCAAAGGCAGAGTCTGTCCACTACCTCATATGTGAAATGGAAATGTTATTTGTCCCTCAAGTAGCCAAAACAAAACATATTTTCCTGAAGTTGGATCATTTCCTCAACCTGTCTTCTTGTAAAATGTGTGAATGAAGACACAGATGGGAATATTTAAATGTTGAAATCCAAAACAATTACATCACAGGAATATATCGGATATGCCTTAATCTCTACATGTCTCTCTAGATGATTATAAAAGAAACCTCTATCATGGACAGGTGTTAATTATATTCAGTCTTAGGTTAATTCTCTATGAAGATCAGCATTGTTAAACAATCCTTGTTAAAATATAACAAACAGAGAAATATTGTCTGTAATTAATGCTAGTGTGCTGTTGATGAATCACAGTTTGGATTACTCTCTTAAGTATTTTTTTTATGTGGCCCACAGACCCGTTGTTTTGTAGACCATCGGCGTGTGAAGCTGATGGCTGGCTCTGGTGGCAGAGGAGTCTCCAGCTTTCACAGTGAGCCGCGGAAAGAGTGGGGGGGACCAGATGGAGGGAATGGAGGAGATGGGGGAAGCATCATTATGAAGGGTAAGTTTGGTGTGTGGTTCCAGGCACGAGACACTATTATATTTGCCATGTATTCTCTACAATTATCACATTCTGTCTCCAGACAAAATATTAATTATTTTACAATTCAGATCTACCCACTCTGCTGGCTGGAACATTGTTCAAATCATTGTTATCATCAATGCTATATCACTCATAAGGCTTGGTCTATTCTTCATCATGCCCAAACTTGTTTCTGTCATTCATTTCTTTTTTATGTACTTTCAGCGGACAAGTTTGTCAAATCATTGGCACAAGTAGTTCCGATATACAAGGGAGAAGATGGGCAACCAGGTGGCAGCAAGAACTGCTATGGCAAGAACGGGAGCTCATACTATATTTCTGTGAGTCCATCTATTTGATTATGAATTACATGTCAGTTATGAATGTAATTTAAGAAGACTTTTCTACGATAAGCCCACTGTCTAACCATTGATGATGTTTCCTATTATTAAGGTACCTGTGGGCACCATGGTAAAGGAAGAAGGAGAGGCACTGGCCGACCTTTCGGAGCACGGCCAGGAGTATCTGGCTGTATTTGGGGGAATTGGTGGGAAGGGGAATCGGTTCTTTCTGTCCAATGAGAATCGTGCACCAATGACGGCAACCCAAGGAATGATGGGCCAGGAGAGGGTCCTTCAACTGGAGCTCCGCACCATGGCCCATGCTGGACTGGTGAGGAAAAGCTGCTAATGTTTGAATTTTCATAGGCACATGTTGTTTTTCAACTCTAAAAATGTAATGAACTGACATTTGAAACATCTTTATCCCATCAGGTGGGGTTTCCGAATGCTGGAAAATCATCATTGCTGAGAGCCATCTCCAACGCCAGGCCTGCTGTGGCTGCTTACCCTTTTACAACACTCAACCCACATGTAGGGATTGTCAATTACAGGGATCATGAGCAAGTTGCAGGTAGAGAGTGATTAATATTCGTTATTTTAAAACACTGTAGAAATGATTTAATAAGATGTAGCTTATTCTTCAGTGTAATATATATGCTGCACTTTTACCCTTGTCCTGTGTAGTTGCTGACATCCCAGGCATCATTCGAGGAGCCCATCTGAATCGAGGCCTTGGCATTTCTTTCTGCGCCACATAGAGCGCTGTCGTTTCCTACTCTATGTTTTGGACCTGTCTTCCCCAGAGCCCTGGACCCAGCTCGTGCACTTACGTTATGAACTGGACCAGTATGAGCCGGATCTGTCCCTGCGTCCTCAGGTCATCATAGCCAACAAAATGGACCTTCCTGAGGCCCGGGAGAAGCTAGAGACTCTAAAGAGCCACGTCTCCCAGCGGGTCATCCCTGTGTCGGCGCTCACAGGACAAAACACAGAAGAGCTCATCCTCCACCTCAGAGAGCTGTATGACGGATATCTCCAAGGAGAAGGTAGTGGGGAAGAGAAACCCAAAAGATGGTAGTAAAAATGAGTTTGTCTGATATTTTCACGATATATATTTATACTTGAAGACATGGAATGTTTTTAAATTGCTTAATAAACACATACACGAAACATAATTCAATGTCTGTGTTAGTTTGTCAATTACTTGCTGCTCTTTGATAAGTACATTATTTATTTATATTTTCTGGAAAGATATAGCAGCTATATGCTACACAATAAAGTATTAAAACTAGAGAAGCCAGTACACTGTTAGTATTAACAAATGCCTGTCTAGGCTGGGTCAGCCTGCTAAAACAAATAAGTTATACAAATTCAGTCTATGATAGGATGAGTGTGTGCATAGAAATGATTATGAGAAACAAACAGGAAAACTGAGTTCAGTTGACTTGAAAGCAACATGTTATTTACATAATCTGGTCATTTTCTCAGTCATTACAAAACCACAAGCATAGAGTACTCGACAAAGAAGATAGAGATACATGTTTTTCCGTTTTACTTGATGCTCTAACTTTTTGTTGTCCTGTGTTGAAGCTTGTCAATGACAACGTAATTCCTAAATATACCAGCAGAGGGCATGCACCCTTTTAAACAACTTTCTATGATTTTTTTTGTATTGAACCTTTTAGCAAATAATACTCTGTAGAGTCTACAACATGATGACATTGGTGGGCTGCCGCTGCTCTTGTTTATCAGCCCACACAATCATAAGGGTGCAGACGTGTATTTAATTTGCCAGCAGTCCTTTAGTAATGTGTGTATAAAGATAAAAATGCTTTCGGCAATGTATTATGTCGTTGCCAGTAAAACCGGAATTTGTTTTAAAAAGAACCACATAGGGTAAAGATACTTTGTATTTTGATGTTGTACTATGCAGTAATATAGAACTCAGAGAAATTAAAACAAATTGTTTCCCCAAAAAGGAATTATTTCAGTGCCTTGAAAAAATATTCAGTGCCCTCCTTGGTGTTTTTTATATTTTTTGCATTACAACTTGTCATTTGAAACAATTGAATATGGATTTTATTTCAATAACACAATATAGACCACAAAGATGAAAAAAATGAAGCCCAGTAAAACATTTTGAAAAAATGTAAAACTTAAAAGTAGTAATCATTATTCACCGACTTTGAAGTCCCAACAATGACCTTCAGAATTAAATCCTTGTTTAACTAAAGTCCACCTGTGTGCAATCTAAGTGTCACATTAGCTCTTACAGCTACATCATCTGTATATATGTTATCTGTATTTAGGCACCAAACATGCAAACTGCATTGAGAAAAAGAAGGTCCCCAAATAGATGGAAGGACAAAGCTGTGGGGAAGTATTGGCCAGGCAGAGATCAGAGTATCTGTCCATAGGACAACTTAATGCTCTACGAGTGGCAGAGAACTGTACATGTATATTGATGAGAAGAAAATAAGAAAACTCATTTGGATTTTGGATGTTTACTTGGAAAAGTACTCTGGTCATATAAAAAATGTTTGGCCATCAGGGAAAACGCTTTGTCTAGCACAAACCCAATATCACTTATTACCCTTAGAGCACCCTCCCCACAGTGAAGCATGTTGTTCATTGGCAGCGACTGGAAAACTTGTCAGAATTAAAGGAATGATGACTTTAAGAGATTTGAGGCTGGGACGGAGGTTCACAATGACTGAAAGCATACTGCTAAAACAACAATGGAGTTAAGATGAAACATTTTGTGTCTTGGGAGTCAAACTTCAATCCGATTGAGTATCTGTTGTATGACTTAAAGAATGGTTATGAAAAGACGTATGCGAAAAAATCTTGTTGGATAGATGTGCCAAGCTTATGGAGACGTACAAAAGAAGCTTGCACCTTTAATTGCTGTACAATGTGGCTTCACAGGTTATTGGCGTTTTGTGGTTATTACTTATGCACACAGATTTTTTCATTTATTTTTGTTATTATTTCCTGTTTGTTTCACAATTAAAAAAAATATGTTGCATTTTCAAAGTGGTAGACATGCTGGGTACATCAAATAATACAATCCCTCCAAAATCCACCTAAATAATAGTATTTTCTTTAAGGCCCTGTACATCAATGCAATCTGGTTAAAATGTGTATTGAAGAACTGAAATAATAAATGAGAGTGGATAGAAGAGCTGAGACAAAGCAGTCAGACTTAAGGAGGATGGAGGGGAAGGTTAATGAATAGCAACGTTGGAGAATAAAAACACATAAGAGGTAAAAGCTTCATTATATACCAGCTACGGTTGAGGTCTCTTGCTTTTTTAAAAGCAGGATGTCCTGATGTTGTCTTCAAGGATGTTGTGTCACATCTTTTCTTTTGGTCGAACTTACATGACTGCTTTGTTTGCACATTAAACAGCATGACAGCCCTCTTAACTTGAAAGAGCTGTTCTGGCCATATGTTAACAATGCTGATTATCTTGTTCTTCTGGGTGTGTCTTTAAATTATGAAATCTGATCCCACTCTCTCTTTTGCTAGGCATGTGTGAAAAACAATGATGAGGAGAGTGAGAAATAGGCAGTAATCCTATGAGACTCCCTTCAACAGCATCACAGTCTGGAAACAGTGTGGACTGTAATCATTAGGCACATATAGGTGCAGGGCCGCCCCTGGTCAACTTGGGGCCCCATTGTGAGATGAGCCCCCCCCCCCCCCCCCCCCAACCGACAGGAGTGAAAACAATTGTTTTGGGAACAAAGAAAGTAGGCTACTTTGCAAATATAATTCCTGTTTATTATTATTATCAACAGTTACTTTTTTATACAGTGAGGTAAATGGTAAAAGTGAATGTATGTCGTTCAGTATGCGTTTACAGGTGAATACGTCTGCATTTCCTGCCAAATACTAGCCTCAAAAAGATTAAAATATAATGAATGCAAATAAACTACTTCTACTAATAATAATAATAATACAAATAATAATAATCATAATAATCATAATCAATTCAATAATGTAAATACTATATTATTTTATTATAATATAGAATAGTCAAGACAAAACATGCTCAAAAACTGATATTTCTTAAATCTGTATTCAAATGTAGTTCCCTCTGTCAGCAATGTATCAACAACTACACACACATTTCTATCAGTATTTCTCTGTGTTGTGGTTGACATGATGATGACTGTTAGGAGTTAAGGGGAGAGGCTGAGCATCACCATGAAATGTGCAAATTGACATAAAAATGAATAAAAGGGGAAAAATGCTCCATGTTTTTAAAGCTGTAAACTTTAACTGTTATGTTAGCCAACTAGACAGACAGTGTATCACTCTTCCTCCTGTACATTAGCAGATAAAAGGCATAACATACTTGAATGAATGTTAAATAAAGAATGCTGGAAATAACTGCATCTCCATATGCAGAGACATCTTCATGTCGTGAATTGCAGCTGATGTTTTAATATGGCAATTGGCAATTTGACTTATACAACATTCGCAAGTTGTACATTTGACTCATACAATAACCCACCTTCGAGTGATGCTCTAGTTTCTTCATGTTTTGTTTTTTTCCCCTCTTGCTTGCGCCGGACTGAAACTGTCTTTTCACCGACACCTGCACTAGTGGCCGTATCAAAGCCGTGATTGGTCGTCGATTCATTGCAACGGTGTCGGGTTACAGACGTGCTCCCCTTGTCACCTCTCACTCTCGCGTGTCAGCGGGGGGTGCGCGGAGAACTGCGCACAGCAGCTGAGGCCCTCTGGGCGAGGCCCTCTGGGCGGGGCCCCCTGCGCAAGGCGGGGCCCCATGCAGCCTACGTGATTGGCCTGTAGGAGTGCACTCATTTCATGTGTATAATGCATTTTATTCATTACCTATTCTCATCTAATAATAATTGTGGTTATTATCAAACATTTCCAAGGACCACTAAGATGTGTATGGTTCATTGTACACAGGTTTAGCAACTCTTGAGAAAAGGTTTCTGTATCTTAAGTGCAATAGCTTATCAATTTGGGGTTATGCTAGCTGAGCTTGTTTTGGAAACAGCTGCACCTACTGAGCATTTCTTTTTTGGCATGTTCACATTAAACCGCACACCATCACAGGTATCAAAAACAAAACCGGTATGACGACTTTGCAACTCTTGACTGATAGTTCCTTGGCATCAGGGTGCATGAGATAGCATCATAAATCATATGTACATACTGACACACCTGCATATTTTTGACATTTAAAAGATGCGGTTTGGATTGTTGTATTACGAGTTAGTATCTCTACCTACCATGACCCTGCCACAAACCAAGACATTAGCCTACATTTCAATGACTTTCAATCTCAGAGCAACATTTTATCTGAGACATGCTGTAAAGTTCCTGAAAACAAGTAGCACAACATTGGTAGACAGAAAGTCATGTAGGGTGAAAGTTGGTCTCAGTAAACCTGATATATTTTTCTATTTCAACACACTAATCATCTGATCAGGTAAGGTTTAGCATATTATACAAAAATAAATTGAAGGAACTACAAGTTTAAAGGCTAAACAAACAAAACATTTCTGAAAAATAAATATCATAGGCTGCCATTATCCCTGCACTGCATGTATCTGCTCTAAATTCTCATATATTCAACCATTGCTTTAAGAGCTTTCATAACCTCCTGAGATATAGTCCCCTGTATTGTAATAGTACATTGAAATCCCACTGTAATCCTTATGACACTATCCCAACCTAATGTGTGACTTTGAAAGAGCATTTATTCGAAGAGTTAAAAACGTTTTCTATTTGTATAATAAACCTTATTTCATGCTTTCCAATCCTTTCAGAAACACTGTACATTCCCTATCTGCGATGAACATTGCTTGTATGAAAGAACAAAAAGGTAATCATTTTAAAATCCCAAAATAATATTAGTTAAGAAAGCTCCTGTTGTAAACAATGAAGTTATACAAACCATTTTTCACAAAATCAGCCAATTCTGTCCAATCCCACAATAATTGTAACAGTTTTCGTTTTTGCCCCTCCAAACATATGGTTACAATTATTATTTAGGACTACTAACTTGATAAAAAAAAAATCAGGTATGATGGAGTGTTCATTTTAGACTTTCCACTTGAAACTTTGTTGCTTCTCAAAACGTTGAGGCTCAGGTTTTGTACTGTAGGCATGGTCTCTTGACAGGCAGATTGAGGCCAGAGTATCAAACCTGAAATCCAGGTCCATGTCAAGTTCTGGGTCAAATGGAATATCAGGGATGGAGATGGCATCAAGATCAAAGTTGTGTTTTTCGTCTCCCTCCTCAGTGTAATTATGAAGATCATAATCACCCAGCTCCTCTTCTGGTGCGCTGAGGGCATACAGCTTCTACAGAATACAGAAGACAAAGGGGAGAAAACATTATTGAAAAGAAACACAATGTCAAGAACTTTAAACAATTGATTCAATTCATTTCTTACATCTTGTAGTAAATTGAGTATCATTGTATGTTGCATCACACTAATCTCTTGATCTGCAGAAGATCCGCCGTGGCGAGCCCAATCCTGGAAATCAAAAGTAAATCATGTGATTTCAGTTCTGAATAACATCAGATATAAATAATGGAATATTTCACGGAACATGTCTCGACTCAGTTACATTCTTAATAATTCCACAACTACTACTACTACTTTATAATAATAATAATAATAATAATAATAATAATAATAATAACAATAATGATAGTACCTCGTGCCAAGAACACCAACGTTGATATCTTTGCTCCATTTTCAACTGGAAATAAAAAACCATGTCAATTTATGATAATTGTTATTATCAATCCATTATCCATTTTTCATTACACAACAAAGGGCTGGCTATTTGTTCTGGTTGTCAACAAAAATGAAATGACTAAAACCAAGAGTGTGTGAGTGAGTGACTTTAAGCCCCAAGCTCATTTGATGCATTTTTAATAGTAACAATGGAGTTCTATGGCACTTCGTTGCTGGTTTTGGTCTTTTCGTTGGATTTATTGACTCTGGGATACATCCTTTAATAATAATAATAATAATAATAATAAATGTCTGTACCCTGTAGAAATAGTCCCATTGCTGGTTTGTGACATGCTGGCCTCCCGCGTCTATTGACTGCAACAACAACAAAATTCAAGTCAGGTAATGACCTTATGTTAACAAATGAAAATAATTAGTGTTAATTTGTCATGAATATAACAACAAAAGTGTTTCATAAGCCTGTTATTAAATGTATGTATGCTTGTTCTTCACTTACTGGCTTTCTCTTTGAAGGCCTTCTTGGTAATTTGATGTCTTTGCGACCGTAACCCAATTCCACCTGTTGAAAGTTAAAAAACGTTTTTTCTTTGCAACAAGTTACAGTTATTTTTCCATAATTTTGGAAAAATATGTAAAGTTTGTACATCACTGAAGTATGAGGGGAGGTAATAAAGTTCAGGTTTATTATGCAAAAAATGTATTTACGTTGCAATCAGTTCCGGGCTTCTCAATGTTACTCGTTATCAGATGTCCTGAACCTGAATCATTATTATCTGGCATTGGTTTGTGCTCATTCTTACACTTCAGCAGAAAAACCAAGAGTAGCACAGCTGGGAGACAAAGACCACACACATACAGATCAATGCATATACGTTTATGTCCTAAATGACTTTACTGTGAAATCTTTTTTTCCCCCATTCGAACTAAAGGGTATCTTTGCATATTGTTGACAATTTCAGACACGTTTCCTACCTGAAAGCAGTAGCATGCTAAGAAATATGATCCCAAGCACTCCTCCTCCTACTCCGGAGCCCATAGTTTTGCGGATGCGGCAATTTGGCTTCGTTATGTCAACACAGTTACACACAATAACTGACAGGTTGTAAACTGCTTCCTCGCCCTGGAGGCCAGATACCTTCAGCACCAAATCATACTCTCCAGAATGAACTGTGAGCTCCTTCACCAGTTTGGTTGTATACCCTGTACATAAAACATTCATTTTTATATTGTCAATTCATTTAGCCTTTCGGTTCAAAAAGGATAAAGAGGTTTATTTTCAAAACTGTCGTTATTTTCTAACCTTGTGTAGGGTCAATCTTCCACTTGCCCTTCTCTTTTTCCTGGAGCTTGAAGGAGAAAGGTCCACCAAAGGGGTCTTGATCAAGGTCGAAGGCAGTGATGTTGGCCTGAGAGAGTCCATCAGATTGGCAAATGTCCAATGTTGTCTCAGTCAACTGTGGCACATTGTCGTTTTCATCGGTAATATGGATGTTGAGGGTTGCAGTGCCTGTCATTGGAGGAAGACCTGGTGACCAAAACACATGTGCATTTTCATTAGTGAAGACATTTTAAATAAGAACAAACACAATATAAATATTCCTGAAGGTCATACCATTGTCAGCAGCATATGTTGTGACCTTATACATATTGTCTTTCACAAAGTGGGACTCTCTGTCGATTATCTTGGTTGTGGTTATATTTCCAGTCCTGGGGTCCACTGTTACCCAATCAGCTGGGTCATCTCCTTTTGTGTATCTGAAACACACAATCAGGCCTTTGCGAGTTATTTGTTGACCAAATAATTGTAGTCACGTGAGACGGTACGACAACTAGTAAATTCATAACTTACACAATTGTGCTGGCACTGGAAGCGTCGGGATCTGTAGCTGCAAATGTCGCCAGATAGAGCCCTGCCTTGGTATTTTCCGCCACCGTAACATGTTTGTTAGTCATGTCAAAGATTGGAGGATCATTGACATCCTCCACAATCACTGTCACTTTGGTAGTGGACAGAGTTAGTGTGTTACTACCAATAGTGTTGACTTTCCAAAGACCAGTGGTGCTTCTTCTTTCCACCTTGCATGAGTAATATGGCGCTTCATTCTGTACACTGATATTCAGGTGTTTTTCATGACTTTCTTCATAGTCCAGAGGCTGTTAAAAATAAAAAAAGGAAAGGAATTTTTGAAATTCAGGCCATGTCACCTGACAGCCATAAAGTTTGTCACTGATACTGTAGTTGTCAATTTCTTCAAAAACAAGAATCCCAACAAATAGTAAGAATTTCTAGAGGTTTCACTCTCTTTAGTTCTCTTTGTTAGCACTGCTGCAGTTCATCTCATCAACTAAGGGCAATTAAAGGCACAGCAGCATACTCAGAATGTAATGTTACTGCTTAGTGTGATCAAAAGTGATTTATCAATGATAGAGCCTAATATGTTGGATATTGAATACCTTACCCCATGGAAAAACTACTGGATACCGGTTACTTTATCTGTGCTAATAAAAACGTGTCGTCTGTCTTTCATAAAAAATCAGGATGATCACACAAAAGATACCTTTTCTACATACAGCAGTCCTTCATTTGTCTCAGGATCAGTAGTGATTTTGAAGTTCCTGTTTTCGTCTCCTTTGATTTGATATTTGGCCCTCCAGGCCGATGTACCTTTGGTGTCTCGGTCTGTAACTTGCAGACGTTTAACAAGAACATTTTCCTCCCCTTCTTTCACTCTCCCTGTACCCTGGGAAAGGAAAATAAAACTTTATTTGTGAAAATGTACCGTTGTATTATAACCATATTCTTATCAAGGTGAATTCAAGAAGTAATGGCTCACTGATTGTCCTGTTATCACAGGTAGATGGTTATTTCCATCTTCTATGTTGATAATGATGGTGGCGAAGCTGGAGAGCTGAACTTCTTCTCCACGGTCTTTGGCCTCCACTTTAATGATGTAGGCATCGGCTTTCTGATCAGTTCAAAACACCCAACAATTATTATTAAATATATTATAATTTAGCGATAACCTTCAAATTTAAGAAGATAAAAGTTCCAAGATTAACCTCTTTTTTTTAATATTTGTGATTTGTTAATTATCAAATTATGCAATGAGTTTCCTCACCTCATGGTCCAGACATCCTTTAAATGAAACCGTTGCAGTTGATTCGAATTGCGTTAGGTAGAACTCCAGGTCAAACGGGTCAGGAATTACTGAGATTATTTTGAAATCAAATAATCTGTTGTTCTCAGTGCTGTCGTCGTCGTTTGCTTTGATGGTAGTGAATTCAGTGCCTGGCAGTATCAAAAGAAAGCATTCGTTTGTTTTAGTTTGTATAATATTTGTTCATAATATGTGAAGATTGCAGATTGAGAAGCGACTAGCAAGTTACCTTGTGGTGTTGACTCTTCTATGGAAACCTCATACCTATCATGCTCAAACATCGGAGGGTTGTCATTTGCGTCGATTATTAATATCTCAACTCCAAGCTGTGCGTCTATTTCATTTTTTTCTTGATCATAGGCCTGAAAGGTTAGCTGTAATGCAATAGCACAAATTGTGACATAATGAAATGCTTTCAAGGGCACACAAACACATACACTCACATCCAGGAGATAATGTAAACAATGCAAATGTAGTAAATTCCTTCTAACCTTTAAAACTCTGAACCTCTCGTAGTCGACGGGGCCATGGACAGTAAGCATTCCTGTAATTTCGTTGAGTTTTAAGATGTTTTTGGGTTCTTCTTCCACACCCTGACCATGTATCTTTAAAAAGCTGAATTTATTTTCAACGTGGAGCTGCAGGGAGTAAAACAGCACAGTAGTGAACGGTGGGATCTTGTCATACCTATACCATTCATTTCGACTTATTATGACTCTCGGTAAATACACACCGGGCCCAGCTCGTATGGGAAACCTCCTTCATGGTCTTCTCGAATAGTAAAGGAATCAATAATCCAGTTTCTTTTTTGTCGCTTCAGAATTTTTAAAGATGAACTATGGACTAGCAAACACTAGAGAAAAACATTACATTACATAAGATTAAGTACATTTTGGATTATTTTGTATATTCATGATTGTGATTACTAGCACATACAACTCTTAACACATTGTTAAATAACAAGTCACTTAATTTATACACACAACACTCGTTAAAGCACTGCTCTATATTCTATCAATAATCTATAATATTAGCAGAATTAACCAGTGCCTTCAGCATTGACTTTTAAAAATATTTATAAATATTTGATTTGTCATTTACAAACTGACTTAATTTTAAATAATCTGTTTTTTGATAACCAGCCATATTATATCTGTATCATTTTGATCATATTATCATATAAATAAAAAAATGTAACGCTTGGTTATATATATTTACAAACAGTGAATGTTTATAAAGGCAGCCCATCATGATGGAATCAAAGGCTTAAGTAAGTATCAAGTAATAATTGTTTGAAATATTCTCAACCAATCTGTCCAGAAATGATGCAAAAGATACATTCTTACCAGTATCAAGAACAGCCTAGGGCGTGTTATCTCCATCGCAAATCGAGATCGTGTGTTGTTAATCCCTTGGTTTTTAGACTAACGCTGGGATGCACCTGGATTACAGTTTAAATGCAACTCATGGCAGCAGCCTACCTGAGAGGGGGCGGGGCCTGTGTGTGTGTGTGTGTGTGTGTGTGTGTGTGTGTGTGTGTCTAAAATGCATATTATATATTTGGTCTGTAACACTTTTGTTAGAGATATGTGAGAATAGTTATGTTACTATACCTTTACACTTTTGATGTAACCATGTAATCATTTTCATCATTTTTATTTAAATAGCTTCTTTCCTATAGCAACCTTACAAAGTGCTTTACAGTGGTGCAAACACACAAATACAATAAATGTTTAAACTATGTAACTGAAAGCACATCTAAATAATTACATCTAAAAAATAACTAGGATTTCATAATACTCTAAAGGCAGTTAGCTTGATAACCACTATGGAGACCCAAACTGTTGTCATGCATATCTCTATGAAAACAAAATATATTGTAAATGCAGTACTTGTGGCAATGTATTAAATTAATGTTATATATTTGTCCTGTTTAAACATTTTCTATAATATGCAACCCTTTATCACTGGGTCTTTGCCAGGCAGGACGAGACGGACACAGTTACACCATTGACTCTTGCTTAGATTTAACTGCTCCTTGTTAACTATGTCATTTTGAATGTAAATGGGAAGATTTTATAAGATGTTATAATGACCTGAGTAATAAAATGATTTTGAACATGATTATATAAATGTAATTTGATTGTAGATGATTTCACAATGCGTGGCTTTATTTTATTTATCTGTTTATTTCATTATATTGTACAAGAGGAGAGTGAACAGGCGTGTTAGCGGCAGACAGGGAGAGACAAATAATTACACATGGTGCTCTCCAAGAAGAGGAAAGTAGACAGTGAGAACAGTGTGGACGGACTCATTCATGTTAACCCTTGTGTTATGTTCACATTTCGCACCCTTTGGTAATGTTCGGGTCAAATTGACCCGGGACATATTTCAGGGTTTTAAAAAAATACAGAACTAAATTCAACATGCACAATTCCTTATATATATTGTCTTTAACTCATTCCCCAACAATATAAATGAAATATATGATTAGTTTTTGAAAATACTCTTTGCTAGATCAAATTTAACAATGGAAGTGTCCATCGTTTTTTGTGAAAAAAATGTAATTTATGTTAAAAAAAATACACTGTAATAAAAACTAGGTTTACATTTTGCTCATGCTTTTCTAGGACAAATGTAAATGAACATTTTTTCATTAATGTTTATTATTTTTAATCTGTCATATAATAATCAAAGCCCTGAAGGAAATAAAGCAATTTATCAGCAATTGGAACACAAGAACCACACATCCAAAAGTATTTGGCTGTGAAATATAGAGGGAATGAAACATCCATATAAATGACATAGAACAGATATAAACACAAAGCAAATAAAAATAATTAACAGTCACTATTCATAAAATACAGTATATCCGAAAAATATATTGATGAAGTGAAGCTGCAGAACATTATGTGAGTCAATGGGCAGGTCCGTTTAGGAAACACATGATGTACAGAACTTCTTCGTGTGTATAGCACAGATGTACTTGTTGCAGTTGCTGCATGTAGTCTGTGTCTTTGAGTCCTTTGAGGGTCCACAGACCTCACAGCTGGCTGTGGGGGTCTTCCAGAAGCTAACTGGGGGGTCTTCTTGCGGCTGGCTGTGGGGGTCTTCCAGCAGCTGGCTCTGAGTCAAGTTCATCTTCCAATTTGCTGTCAAATTCTGAGTTTACCTCCACATTATCCTCATCTTCAGAAATGTCTTCCTGTCCCACTTCACCGTGTTCTTCTAATGCATTCCACTCACTCTCATCCATTATTAGCTCCAAGGCTCTGAGCAGAATATCTTTTGGCCATTTTGTTGGTAGATAATTGCAGTTCTGCACTACACTGTTACTACACTGAGGTTATGTCTCTGTTTAGTCCCTCCTCCGGCGTGCAGGTGCGAGGGGGACAGTGCGAGAACATTTAAAATGTTTATACATTTCTGGAAGATCTAAAATATTTATAATGTTCTAGGATAGTTTTGTGTACACACTCCAAAGGGTAAAGATCAAGGGAAAACATGATCAAACAGCTTCTCTATGCATACGATTGTGTGTGTGTGTGTGTGTGTGTGTGTGTGTGTGTGTGTGTGTGTGTGTGTGTGTGTGTGTGTGTGTGTGTGTGTGTGTGTGTGTGTGTGTGTGTGTGTGTGCAGGGCAGCCGCCAGGGATTTTGGGCCCCATGAAAAGATATCACATTGGTTACTTACATTTTTTGTTCTTAATGTTCTAAAATAGTTTGGGCCCCTGTCAGTCACGGGCCCTTAGAATCGTCCTAACTTTTCACCCCCTTACGGTGCCCCTGTGTGTGTGTGTGTGTGTGTGTGTGTGTGTGTGTGTGTGTGTGTGTGTGTGTGTGTGTGTGTGTGTGTGTGTGTGTGTGTGTGTGTGTGTGTGTGTGTGTGTGTGTGTGTGTGTGCGCGCGTGCGCGTGCGCGTGCGTGCGTGCATGTGTGTGTGAGAGAGTTTGTGTGCACTTTTATAACAACTGACTTCTAGTTTAGACTTGTCCTTTGAAATCAGTTCCTGGAATAAGATATTTTTAAAAGTATTTTAGATGTTACTTTTACTGCAGTTGTTTTATGGTGCGTAGTATGAGGCTGAGAGGCAAAGCTAGCTTTAATTGTTATAAATAAAAACATGCATTACGACATGTGGTTAAATAAGATTTGACACATCACTTTTCTTTATTAAAAAAACAAACAATGTATTTAAATTTTTGGGTTGATAGGGATAAGATATCAAATTAAAGGTCAGATTACAAAATTCAAATGTAATTTCAGCCCCAGAGTGCCACGGTTATATCAAGGCTGCATTCATTCAGTTTCAAATAAAGTGTTGTTCCTTTCGACAGTTGACTTTGAATCACATTGAATTATTACTCACTTCCATGTGTGCAATAGTGACAGTCCTAACAATGGGCTTTATATATTTTCAGTACATCAACATAATAATTCATTGTGTATCTTCGTCCTTCAAAAAGCACAACATCTGTGTGTGTGCTCATTGTAATAACATTAGAAATATGCTGACTGACCACAAATGTAAAGGCATACTATACAACATAACTACACTGGTTTTACAAAAGCACCTGGTATTTCTTGGATGTGCTGGCTATACAGAGGAATGTTATAACCTAATTTACAACCTTTTCACCTGAGGACAATTTTAACTAACAGTCTAGATACTTTAAGATGTGAAAAAAAATCTTTAGGGAGAGTATCTGGCTCACATTGCACCTGGGGGTGTGAATGGGAATCAGGAGTGTTTTTTATAACTAACCGCCGAAAACAAAACAAAAGAGATGATAGCATGACACGTCAGTAACTTAGCTGGAACTCTGGACGCCTTTATTTTGCAATGAAGCATGACAGATACAAATCTTTTCACTGGAATCTGTGATGAAATCACTTCTCATGAAAAAATTAAATACTTTAGAAATGTGTGTGTGTGTGGAGGGGGGGGGGGGGGGTAAAAGACAAAAGCTGTAGGGAGACATGGGACAGTTGTAACACTTTTTGGGTTTTCCCCAATAAGTAAAAATACGTTTACACTAGGATAGCCATTTTGCTATAATATACATTCTTAATGTGTCAACTACTGAAACAATGTATTTAAGTGTTGTTAAGAAATAAGCACAGATTGGAAAATGTATTTAAATACAGTCACTCAACTGTTACAACCATCCCAGTGTACAGGGACGGTTGTAATGCAAGGGACGGCTGTAACATGTTAATAACGGTTACCCTTTTTCACACTACATGACAAAAGGGAAAGCTGTCAAATTTTAAGGCAACAAGATTTTAATGGGGTTTCACACATCCTCCAAAAAACAATGATCAGAACTTAAAACAGAACACCAGATGGAACTAGAGAATGCAATTCCTGAAGAAATTGCTAGTGGGGATGCTTTATGCTGAAAAGATGATGCTGAACTGCTATGCTGAAATGTAATGTGTGCTGCGTTCACACCGGACGCGATGTGATGTTTGGGGGCGGCGCGATTACATGTCAAGTCAATGCAGGGATGCGGACAGACGCAAATTCGCTACGACGGTGAGCATGAAGCGGTGGACGCGAATTCCGCGGCGCGATTGAGGCGAGTTACATTTTTTCAACTCGAGCGTCATATTCGCGTGACGCGATCTCGCGGTAGCCAATCAGCGGTGAGGATCTCAGCCTGTCATCAGCAGTTAGCTGTTAGCAGTTAGCACACAGAGTTCACAGCTCCTCATATCTGTTCAGAAACTATACAGAAGTTAAAGAAGAACAAACCACAAACTGTCTGTGTCATGGCGAATACAGTCGCTGGTTTATTTATGTCTGTAGGCCGTTGTTGTGAGTGTGGACGGAGAATATACAACGTTAGCTTAGCCTGACCGATCCGATCTCCATTCAGAAAACACGCATTTTAAAAGGTTTTTCGCCTGCCGTCTTGTCTGCAGACTTGTCAAAGCATTAATTCATGGTTTTTACCCACCGGTATCAGTATATTGTTACTTCAGCATCATTTTGAAACGTGTATTACAATTAGATCACAAATGTGTTCATTTTGTTAAAGTTGTAGCCCCCTAGCCAGCGCGTCTTGTTTGAATGATGCTAGTAAACACAGCTGACAGCCGCGGGGAAACTCGAGCGTTTAGAGCGAGGCGATAGGAGCGAATAGAGCGAAGCGAATATTCACATCACGTCCGGTGTGAATGCAGCATAAGAAAAAAGTGAAGAATTTAGATTGAAATGATACATGAACACTGGGGGCTTGAATGTGTGATAAGAGAATTAAAGAAAGTAAAAAGGCTTGGAAAAGCAGCAGAATATTTGAACTGCAAACTTTTGAACTAACTTGATGGCGAATGATCTGTCGCCATGGCAACGGTATTTGATGACACCCCATAATACGCTTAGATGTGTTGATGGCTGCATCGTTACCAAACCTGTGAAGTTTTGGAC